GGTGGGTGGTGCTGACTTGCTGCCTTCCCTCTAGTCTTACACTGCTAAATTAGGGACGGCTATCGCAGATACCCCTCGTGTAGCTTTGCGCGAAACTCAAAAAACAAACAACTTATTTTCGGTGTCGGTAGTACTGCCTATGTAGAGATGGCTCGAATTGTTCACCAAAATGGTATTTTAAATATCTCCTCAATAGGTTATTGGAACTTTACAATACTATACAGTGTTTCCTTTCATAACTATTTGTATGTAATTACTGAATCACATGTTCTGGGAATATCTGTAAATATCATAGCAAAAATTTGGATTTCTTGTTCTTCTTTCTTCTGCTTCTTTTTGATTACATAATAGCTCAAAAACCAAAACAATGATGTCAACCAATTTCACTGAGGTGACATAGTTTCAAACGGAGTATCCACTTTTATAAGTATTATTAATAACAAGTAGTAATTGAAAAAAATCATAATTCTAGTGTTATCACAACCCCATTGAAATTAGCTTTCATACAGAAATTTGGTGTTCCTTTAAAAAGCTTAAATACAGGGTGAAACAGGAATTATCTGTCAATAATAGATAAACAATAAATATTACAGGTGGATGTTATGTTTGTAATTAAGCACAACGTTACACAATGGGCTATCTGTGCTCTGCTCACCACGGATATCCAAACCCGGTTTTTAGAGTTGTAAGTCTGCAGACATACTGCTGTACCACTGGGGGGCATTACAGTTGGAATCTCATTGTATTTAGATCTTTGTTATTAATACAACCTTCCTATGTCTGTTAACACACCGCATTCAAAACAAGCAAAGAAATAAAGAAAAAACTTTTCAAAAAAGGAAGTAAATGTAGGGATGGCTGATATCAATCCTTGAATAACAATACAAACAAGATAGTAGGGATGATATTTGCATCATCCCTCCATAAAAGCACAGGCAAGAATTAAAATATAGCAATATATATATATATATATAACTGTTCAATCACAATTGAGTTTAATTTATCATATTTTTGTCTGTTAACATTTTACTACAGTGTGTGCTTGTGCTGTTACATAGGGATGATGCAAGTGCCGTCCTTACTATCTTGTTTGCATTGTTTTTGAAGGACTGATATTAGTCATCGTTCCATTTACTTCCTTTTTTTTTAATTATTGGACTAGTTAGTAAAATCATAACGGAAAATAACTGGTTGCACGTAAATCTTGGTCCGGATATTAAGCATCAATTTAATGGAATATTGGTATTCGAGTGCCGACTGTATCCAAATGAGCATCAGTTTTCACACATAAAATAGCTAGATAATCATTATTCAAACTGTGACCAAAAGTCAAAATAAAGAGCTGTAAAGGAACAATAATGTCCGAATACATTATAGAATGTTGTGCTGCACACAACCACCGTTTCTCTATGTGTACCTTTTCCTTCTGTTAACTATATTTTTCACCATGACCTGCAATACTTGGTGAAAAATGTTGATCAAAACCCCCAAAAATATCCGCCTTCAGTTCATAGTGCTTTTTAGGTTCAGTTATTTTCTTTTTTTCAACTCATAATTCGAATGATTTATGAATTTGCCACCACCAGGTAACATTTTTGATCATTTTATAATCTGATCAAGTTAATGTACACTGTAGCTGGGCCTTACCTCTCTTGTCCTGAATATTTACAACATGAAATATAATACTGGCTCTAATTCTTGTATCCATGCTTTTATATTTGTAATTTTGAGCTCACTGTGTAGAATAAATCATAAAACTGTTCAACATGCAAAAACATATCTACACATTTTTTATAAACATCACAAAATATACCGAAGTCTAATTATTAAAATATATTCCATAGGAATTTTAATTAATTGCATATTATTTGATACAAACTTAAGATCATAGTTTAGTCACATACTGTTCCGCACGAGAGGCTGCGATGGCATATGTATTTGCTGCCCTCTCATGGACTAATAAATGGTCAACTGCCCAGATATGTCACCAAATTAAATCACACACAAAGAATACCCAGTATACCACTTCCATAACTGAACCGAGTCCTTACACGGTCAAGGTAACATAATTGAGTTAACTTGGGTATAAAATCGTGCTTCGCGTACGATGTACTACAATTAATTGACTACTGAAACATTGTTTAGGGGGAAAAAAGTAAACAACGGACACAGACTGGATTGAATCTTCGACTTCCCGCATACAAAGCGCGTGCTGTGCCATATGAGCCAAAGCCCAGTATTTTTTTTTTCACATATGAAACTTAGTTTGGTTTCTTGCAATTAAACACAAAGCTACACAATATGCTACCGGCTGCTATGCCCATCACGGGTATGGAAATCAGTTCTCTGGCGTTATAAGTCCACAGACTTGCCGCCGTGCCACTGGGGGTTCACAGACATACAGCATTATTTAGTGGAATACTATATATGTGTGTGTATGAAAAGGGTATATGTAAATGTTTTAATACCAAAAATTATATAAATAATGCTGTTGTTGTATAATGAAGTTGGACATGAATGAAAAAAACGTATTAAGCATAATATCGAGCTGTTGTATTTACATTTAAAGTAAATACGTGTCAAAACGTGGAATGACTATAAACGAAATATATCTCCGTATAAAACATTTTGTATATAAACACCTTGTCTTTGACTAAAATCTTGAGATTTATTTGTCGCACTTTTAATAAAGTGACGTTATGAAATGTGGATTTTTCAAATTATTGTCTCCAGAAGTATAAATATCAGCTGTGTTCGTTTGTCGCTATTTCACTTCTTTTTCCTTTCACAATGGTATCAACTCTATTTTACTCTCCCCCCTAAAGTATTAGCAAAGCGTCGGGTTCACTACCACCAATAAATTATGGCGAAATTTTCGATTTTAGGCATCTGTATTTATAAAATGACTTTTTTAATTATGCTATCATGAAGTATAAAAATCAATTGTCTTCGTATGTCCCTATTTCGCCAATTTTTCCTTCCATAACAGAATCAACTCTTTTTTCTTTTATTTTATT